ACTGTAATCACAGTACACTTTTAAGAATTTCACTTTTTATTCTGAGCTTCTCAAACACAGTATCAATCTATCCTGCCAAGACTTCTGCTGCAACCCTGCCTCTCAGCAGCACTTCCCCCTCAGCGTAGGCAGGCAATGCTGGGAAAGGGTGAACTGTGATCTGCTCAGAGGGTTCTCTTTTTTACAGTGTAAGGCTCTGTATTAAAAAGGCACAGTTACAGACTTTAACAAGGTTCAGACATTGCCAAATTTATGCCCAAATTCCCTGTTCCCGAAAGGAACTAAAATTGGGGGATATGCCAGAACTATGGAATGATGAACCCAGCTTTATACAACAGGTATAATCATGAAAGTCTGTGTGCACATCCCATTTTGCTAAACAGATCACTTTTAATTGCTTACAGAATTAAGTGTTTCTGCCAGGTGTTGTGGCACATGCCTGTATTCCCAGCACTTGGGAGGCTGAGGCAGGAGGATTGCTGTGTGTTTCAGGTCAGCCTGGGCTACAAAGTGAGTTTGAGCCCAGTTTGAAGAGGATATTGAAATCCTGTCTCAAAAAGACAAAAAAAAAAAAAAGAAAGAAAGAAAGAAAGAAAGAATTAAGTATTTCAATTTTACATGCTTCTTTTTCCTTTGCTAGAGTCATGAACTATCTTCTGATTTTACTTCCTTCTGTGCCTTGATTATTTATCTTTTCCAATGTTGGCTTTGCATATAACCAACATACACATAGGAATATATACCCTTATTAATAACTAAATATTTCACAATAGACAGTGTTAGGGTCTGTGTCTTTGAGTGAGACCAACCAACTCTTTTCATTGAGTTTGTTAGTAACTGACTAGTTTGGCATCACTTGATGGTCCAGAGTTATACTCTTTATCATGAACACTTTTCAAAATATTGACCAATTCTCTAATCATCATAAAATTATCACTCCCAAAAGTCAGCGCTTTGCCATTTTTGGTGTTGCTGGTTCACATTTTTATGGTACTCATTGTGTTTATCTTGTCCCCAGACCACCCTAACTTATCACATCATGAGTATGTTTTGATGGTTTGCCAAGCATTTCTGTTTCCATGTCAAGCTCGGTAGAGCTGAGATTTTTATTGGCACTGTATGTCTAAGTCAGGACACCTCTACAATCATTCACTTTGTCTGGAATTCAGAAGACGTCTTGGTGTCAAAAGTGCATTTTCTTTAATGAATTCTTCTTGACCTTCCCACCCAGCCCAAGTGTCAACCCTTTTGTTAATTCTTCTCCTGCTCCTCTGAGAAGCCAAGCTTCTCTCACTTGTCAGCACTGGCAATATGGAACCCAGCCTAACCAGCTGAGCTGTGTTAAGGAGTGTAAGTGTCTGGTTTTCCAAGCAGTGTAAGGGATTGTTGAGAGCAGAGAAACATCTGTGATGTGTCAAGTTCTATAAACTATAAACACACTTGCTCTTTTATTACTGATGAGGAAATTAAGAGTGAAATTTCCAGTTAGTAGATGACTGAATCGGATTGTGTAGCTGGATCTGCCATTGACCTATTGCATGCTCTGCAGCTCATGGAAACGTTGTAAAGCATGAGGGTGAAGAGCTAACCAGAGTTTACCAGAGGTAGACCAGAGCCTGGTACAGCTACTGATCCCAAATAACTGCTCACTTTTCTGTTTCTCACCTATTTTCAACCCTCAGCTTGATCTTTCAGGACATGTTTTCTTAGAAACATGATTTCCTCATCTTCTTACAATCATTTTCACTCGTTCTTGCATTTAATACATATTCATGAGGCAACTAGGTACCCAACCTAGTTCTATTTACATTATATAAAACAGATAAAAATCCTGACATTATGGTGCTTATATTTCCACCAAGAAGACAGGCTATAAAATGATTAACTGTATGTGTGACTTAATAGATTATAAGGTAATGAACACTAAGACAAAGTTAAAAAATAAAATGGGGCAAGATAAAGGTGTGAGGTGTATGGTCAGGTGACAGTGTGAAATTAGAGAAGTTTGTTCTGGATCCTGGAGAAGTTGAGATTTAAGCAAAGCCCTGGTGGAAGAACTGTCAGCAAAATAGAGCAAAGTCCCTAAGGCATAAGCATCCCGGAGTATTCTAGAAGTGTCAAGACTGCAAGAGCTGTCTGGAGTTGAATGAAGCAGAGAAATTAGCTAATGAGAGGAGCAAACTGGAAAGTAGTACAGATATAGGTGAGGAGGTGTTAGTTGTGGAGGGCCAGAGCTAGTGTGGGTTCCACAGTGTATACAGCCTGCCCCTGTACTAACAGTGCATGCACTAAGTAGCTCCACACTAATACTTTGGGTTTGGTCTTACTGCTAATGGGTCCTAGCTAATATTTGTCTGCATAGAGTAGTCCTCCAAAAATAATTAGTAATGTCTGGATTTAGAATATTGCTTCAGCCAGGTTCAATCATATTCATATGAATCATTATTTCAGTGATTTCTATACAACACCATAGAAAACAATTCCTTTATATTGGCATTGGCTACAGTTGATGGGACCTGACTATAATGCATAGAATGCACTCAGGAGATGCTAGCTGAATGAATGGATGTGTGAATGGGTGGATGGAGACAAGTTCAGTCTTATGACATAGATGGACACTTTCACCTGCAAATTAACTTTGCTTCTAGATGTAGAAATAAGTTATACATTTACTGACCAATTAAATTGACTATCAGGGATATTATCTGGTATTGATTAAATGTTGATTGTTTTAAAATTTATGTTCTATCAAAGTAAGACAGATTTTAAGCTCTGTTTCTTCTAAGATATTTTGTGGCTGTGAGAGAGATATATTTACTAAAAACACCTTGCTTCTCCTTGAAAAGAGTTACTAGTTAAAAAGAAGTATATAAACTTAGGCTCAAAATAAAAGGTCTTATTTACTTCTTAGCTGATATATTTATGTCCACACTCTCTACAGTGATTTCATTGTCTTGATACAATCTTCAACTTCAAATGTCAACTACGTAGTTATTTTCTTTGTTGGACTTAATCTTCTTTATGGTGGTAATTTGTTTCCATAACTCTACTGTAACAAAGATTACGTGTGGCATTTATTGCTGGACTAGTGAATGTAAATCAGAGTCCCTGGGTTTGTCCTTAACCTTTTCTTTACAGAGATTGGAATGACTTCTATACATTTGGATTTGGTCATATAAATGCAACAGACAATTATAGTCATTTTGTCCTAGCATATGACTATGAAAACTTTTGTGAATATATTTTTTAAAAATCCTTATATCCAATTAACCAACAAAGTAACAGTTTTGGAAAATATTTTATATATTTATAAATATATAATTT